TGCTGGCCATACCATATGAGGCACTCCGACTTCCTGAAGTCGAGTTGTGACAATTCTGGCACGATGTGGTGGAGCATTGTCATCCATGAACAGAAAGTTGGGGGTGTGCTGGTGGAATTGGGGGATGGTGATGGGTTCTATGATGTCTCTGAGGTAGGAACGTGCAGTGACTGAGCCATCTACAAAAACCAAATCGGTTTTGTGCTGGCTGGTGATGCCTGCCCAGACTGTTGCACCTCCTCCACCAAAGCGAACCCTGGGGACCATGGTAACCTCGGCATATCGCTCACCTCGCCTTCTCCAGCAACGCTGATGACCATCATTTCTGTGCAAGGTGACTCGACGCTCATCAGTGAACAGGACGGTAGACCACTGCTGCATTGTCCAGGTCACATGGTCTTGTGCCCACTGCAAACGTTCACGGCTGTGTCTTGGTGTCAGTGCCTGCAATGGTCGTCTGGCATTCAAGCCAAAGCGGTGGAGTCGGTTGCGAATGGTTTGTCTGGAAACCCTAGTTTGTTTTTTATTCCACTCACAAATGTTTTTTTTTTTGCATCCGTAGGTATTTGAAGGAGCCACACCTGGGACAATCTGAAGACCCTCTGAAGCACTGGATGACCAGGAAAGCAGTGTATCCCAGCTTATTCCAACTAGCAACCAAGTATCGATTGCTACCTGCATCCTCTGTCCCTTGTGAGAGAGTCTTTTCAAAGGCTGGGCAAATAGTCAGAAAGCCCAGCACTGTGGAAAAATTCCTGTTTCTTAATAAAAATCTGTGAAAATAAATGTATGTAAATAATTGATGCATATACATGAGTGAATGAAGCTTGAAAACTATAGTTGTATAAGATTTGGTACTCTAACATGGTCTTGGTATCCAGCCATTAGTATATGCCTTATATTTTGAATGGAATATTTACTTTTATTGCTAAACAAAAAAAAGACAGATGCCACATTGATAATAACTTAAAATCTGCTTATTAAAAGGCAACTTTAAACGAGTTTTACTGCACACATTTGGGACTGAAACCATGATGTTTTGTGCCACAAAAACATCAAATTATGAAACAGCTGTTGTCATTCCAGTCTGCCACCGGATGTCACTTTTCTTCCTCACAGAGAAGCTCTGAAGCGTCAAAACATTTTCTGCACAAAACAAGGCTTTGTTCGCCCATCGCTACCAGAAACACAGCACAGGAGGTTATGATGAGCAGACCAGGATTTCGGAATTGGCTGGATGGATCCAAGCTGAGGCAGAAGAAACTCAGGTTAAACAACAGCACAGGGTGCAGAGCAGAACTGAGCCAGGGTGTACTAACTAGATGGTAGTTTATGGTCCGGTGTCGTGGTCTGAGGTCAGCTTATGTGGAACACAGGTGAGTGGAGCGATTGGAGACCACGCCCCGCCGCAGGAGAAGACAATCAGGTAATCAGCTGGAGTCACTGCAGCTGCCCAGACCTCCCACACCTGCCAGCACTCGCCCACCTGAGAGACGGAGAAGAGAGGCAGAGAGAGAAGACAAGAACTGCCTCTAGGTGGAGCCAGAGGTGCAGGGTGTAACTAAATAGTTTTGGTAATCCTAACTGACCTAAAACAGGAAAAGTTTAGTCTCATTTAATGTCAGATAGTGAGGGGGGAAAAAAAGGTTGTGTCTTTTTATACAGTGTAGGTAAACTTCTGGTTTCAACTGTATATTTATATTGTAGCTGACTGAGGAGCAGAACAACAGGCCCATTTCAAAATAACACACAGAATCCAGAGACCCTATCTGACAGCTGTAAACCGTTTGAGAAGAGAGCTAACCCAAAATTTTCAGCCAAATGGACCATCTGCATATCAAATGTTTGCTACAGAGTGACCACTCACAGCCCTCGTGGAGACAGCAGGACGTCTCCTACCTCCCCAAGAGCCTGATAATAGTCATAAAATGTTAACTGTGAGGAAAACCGTGCCTTTGGAGGAAAGGAGGTTGCATGCTTCACTGTGACCTTCTTCTCCTCCTAACAGCCAGAACTTTCTGCACAAGAATTAACTGAAAAGTTTTAAATCCCAAAATTAAAAAATATCCAACATCAGGACTCAGTTTATGATACCATAGGGCTGTCCTACGAAGTGAGATTAGTGGGTTATAGACGTATGTTGAGCCTAAAGTATGAGTTTTTAGTGTTACGAAGGTGGCTCTCTTTTTACCTGACTAGATCTCCATGGTAACTGATGCTGTGGAGCTAACCTGGTGTGAATCAGGTTATGTTTTGAGTTTCAGATTTAAATTGACTGGAAAGAGCATCTTCCTTTAACCAAATCGTTTATTATTATTTATGAGCGATACAGACTCTTAGCTGAGGGAATGTGTTTTATCTGCTAACATGCTGAGTTGTGTGTTACTAATATCACTGAATGAAGCCGTGTAGCTACAGTATCACACACTGTATACATCACATTGCCATGGGAACCAGACATGTATTTAATTGGCAATGCAGAAATCACATAAATATGTTTTTGTGTTTGGCTCTGATTTGCTGTTGTAGCAAGTACACAGGCTAGATTAGGGCTTGAAAAGCCATCAGCATTAAGGTATAATTTGGGCCCAGGTCTACAGAAGACAGATTCGGCTCTTGGAGGTAGTGGTACAGTAAAGAAACACACATCCAACTTCAGATGCAGTTGGTACCATGTATTAATATGTGACAGTATATACAGTGGAAACCAGTATTTACAGTCTGCAGAGTTCATTAGAAAAGTGCACTTGACATTTGTGATGCAATGACACATTCAAAACCAACCAGTCTCTGTTTCGGCCACTATGGCAGCTGTTCTACACACAATATTGAGTGTTGCAAAAGCATAAAGTTCATGAAATATGAGGCACACAAAAATCGCCCAGCAGGTGCGCTGCAAATGTAGAGTCCCAGGATGTGAACAGTCCATGACTTAAAGTGCATGTGTGTGTGTATGTGGGTGTAGGAGAAGGTGAGGGGGAACAAAGCTGCCAGAGCCTCCTACCAGACCAGGAGGGGCCCTTAACTGGGATTGCTCGGCTCCAGTGTCTTAGCTCGCCATCGATTCGATTCTGCGTCCTTACAGGTACCCTGGCCTGTATAATGTAAACAGGACCACATCTTAACATTTCATCAACTAATCAGTGTACACAATAATTAATACATAATTCATGAGCAGCAAGAGAATAACCATTTCTCAATAAAGTGCATTTGGGTTAACATCAATTCACTTCATAATTAATCATGAAAAATCTTCCTACTTTATGTCACTCATTTCTTAAATAACATACATTCACATAGTTCAAGATCAACGTACACATTCTGTAGCGGTGCTGTAGTGGCACATTCATCTCCCGATACCATGAGCATTAGCATTTAAAAGCTAGGTGTACCGTAGCCAGTCCATACAAACGAGACCGGCATATGCTAATGCTAACAACAACAGGCAGACTCGCCAATATAACCAACTCACCAATATATCCGACGCACCACGCGACCAACTTATCCTTCCCCGGCGCTGGTTAGTGTCTAAACGGTGAAATGATGTAACTGAGGCATTCAGAATGATACAACCAAAAACTTATGACTGAAGTTGACATTTGTTTGTAGCGACCAACCTGTAGCAGCTGCTCCACGTGCCTCCCCTCACCTTCTCAATGAGAGGCAGAGCGGACAGCTTATGACAGGTGCTACGAGCGACGCGATTGGACGGTCGCGACCTCTACGTACGTGCATGACGAGGCAACTGCACGTAAACAAATAACAGTTTTTTTTCTACCCCGGTTACACTGTCAAGTCCGTTTACTCTGCTGGTACTGCAGCTGATAAAACACAGAAAATAGATTATTGTACTGGTATTTATTGCAGAGAATATTCAATCAATAACAATAAGTTTGCTCTGATTGGGCCAAAAAATCAAGTGATTTCCTGCATTTTGGGACAGTGTCAGACCTAAATGCATTTCAATACAAGATCATGTTTAAATACATGAAGTTCAAAGCAGCTGTCAGTTGGAAATATGCAGCTGCATCAGCAAAATAATATATATTACAGGTTTTCTCAGTCGCTTTGGTTCATTTCTCAGATCAGAATTGAAATTCTCAAAACTACTTGTTCAATCTTCACATCATTGTGTCACTTGTGCACATCAAAAAGTTTCTAATTTCTTTGAACAAGTTCTAAATGCTTTGGTACATCCATGCAAATGATTACGTACAATTCTCTGCTGTTTCCTACATTATCAATAGCTCATGTCATCATGGGCTTATATGTACAGTTTTCCATAAGAAGACTGTCCTATGTTCACATTTCTACTTTTGTTGTTTTTGTCTTTGTGCTGTCTTCTCCTTTGTGTTTGGCAATGACATGGTCTGTCAACAAATCACAGTACAAACAGTAAAAGCCTAAATGTGAATCTTGTCCAGTCTCTTGCAATCAATCTCCCACATACACTAAGGTGTAACTCACAATTTACAATAACTGTCATCAAAACACACAGTTCTGTCTTGCAGCATTTGCAGTAGCTGCACTTCTTACTGTCATAATTTTTTATATTCCTCATTGTTGTCCATTAAAACAACCTGTTGACTGAAGCAGCTGCACACCATGGTTTCATTCTATTCCTTGTTATGTGGGAGAGTATGAAGCAGAAAGCCTGAGTTAACAAAAAAAAGTTGATAACCACCTTTGTGATATACGTAATCTCTGGCTGGGGCTTTAGTTTTTTGTTGAGCCTGTTTACACAAAGACAGCCTGGCTATGTCAAACTTGCTCCATACTAAACCCCTCTGTTGCACAGCTGCATCCACAGGGCTCTATACCTTCTGTGCTGCCTTCTCAGGACCATCAGAGGGCAAAGAGCCCCTTTACCTACAACTTCCACCTGTTGTGAAGTCAGCAAACTATTCTAAACATTGACTTAAATGAACTATATATTGGGTTTGAGATAAAAGCATTTAAATCACAGAGCATTTTGTGAGATTGATTGATTGACACATCTCATGCACCTCTCAGAAGATCTCTCCTGGACCAGCAACACTGCATCACTGGCCAAGAAAGCTCATCAGTGTCTCTACATCCTGCCCAAGTTGAGAAGAGCCCCGCCCCCCATCATGTCCACCTTCTACAGAGGCACCATCGAGGGCATCCTCTCCAGTTGCATCACTGTGTGGTACAGCTCCTGCACTCACAGGATGCTTCAGTGTATCGAGAGAGCAGCGGAGAAGATCGTTGGTGCCTCTCTCCCCTCCCTCCAGGACGTCATACAGCATCCATCACACATGCAGAGCCATCTGCATAGCGGTCGATTCTACCCACCTGTCACACAACCTCTTCAGTCTGCTGCCATCAGGGAGGAGACTGCAGAGCCTGAGGGCCAGGACCAGCAGACTTCAGGAGGGCTTTATCCACCAGGCTGTCAGGAAGCTGAACTCTCTGCCCTCCCTCCCCCCCGTGCCTCCTGCATACACAAACTCGGGACACTAAAAGCTAGACTGGTCTCAAGCAGCACAAGGACTGCCTAACACTAAGCCACTTTGCAGCATAATAAGCTATGTCTACTGCACTGTTTACTGTTTACTGCACTGTCTTGCACTGTTTCCACTGCACATTTGCTTATTATATGTTTAGATTGTATATTTTAGCCTACTGTATAAATGTATAAATTGTTTAAATTGTATATTTTACAGCTTATTATATGTTTATCTTAAACATTCTTTTTAGTATGTATATTTTTTCAACAGTTTTTTTTTTTTTGACCGTTACTTGATATTGTGCTGCTGTCGGCTACCTTAAAGGCTACACCCAGGGCACACTATCCCACTGTATAGTCCCATACATCAGCTTTAAGTTCATGTTCACTGAGCACACACAGTCACATACATCAGCTTTAAGTTCATGTTCACTGAGCACACATTGCCTGTGGATGAACTGAGCGACACTCGCCAACAGCACTGATCAACCGATATGTTCAGGTAATTACTGTTGAATGAAATTTAGCTTGTACAAATGTAGCTTATGTATATATATTAGGGTTTGCAATACATGGGTTGCAATACCATTCACTAACGACACATTTAAATACATTACGATACGATTTGATGCGATGCAGCTTGAATCTATTTATGTGGTGGGAAAAGTTAAAGAGAAATGTATCAGGTCAGAACAATGTCATTGTGTTCATTTTACTAATACACACAGACAAGACAGACTGTTGCCGTATTAAATATGAGAAAATGTTAACAGTAATATTGCAATCCATAAACTTTGCTTTTAAAAACCATATGAGAGATTTTTTAGCAACTACATATTGTACTTGCTGTTGTCTTATTGTAAATTCTTAATCTTGTTGCTTATATTTAGCATGTCTTCTACTTATGTTGTTACGTGTTATTTGTTTTTATTGTTGTAACTTTAATGTTTCTCTTGGTCAGGTCGTTGGTCACTGTATCTCAATGGGACAGATCTGCTTAAATAATGGCTAAATAAAACAATTAGATATATATAGTCATGGAAAAGTTAGTAGACAACCCTTGTTTTCTTCAATTTCTTGTTCATTTTAATGCCTGGTGCAACTAAAGGTACATTTGTTTGGATAAATATAATGACAACAAAAAAGTAGCTCATAAGAGTTTAATTTAGGATCTGATATCTCGCCGTTTTCCATGGTTTTCTTGATAATAACCAAAATCATTTAAGTTCTTACATCAATAGCTATGGCATTGTACTGACAAAAACAGTGCTTTAAGGCATTCCATATTTTCTTTTCTGTCTGTTTTAGTCAAATGATACACACAGGAGTTAGTACTTGATTGATAACCATTGTTTCTGATGACTGCAGCCATGCGTCTTGGCCTGCTCTCCACCAGCTTCTGACATTGTTCTGCTGTCACAACAGCCCATTCCTGTTGCACAAATTCAAACAATTTGCTTTGTTTTTGGGCTTGTGCTTCTCCATTTTCCGCTTGATGATTTTCCACAGGTTTTCAGTTGGATCTAGATCTGGTGATTGCGCAGGCTAAGGCATGGTTCCAATGTTCTGGTTCTCCATGCAGGCTTCAACTGACCTCGCCATGTGGCAAGAGGCATTGTCTTGTTGGAAAATCCAGTCGTTTAAGGCAGCTGATGGAAGAAGACTGTTTTCAAGAGTAGCCCTCTACATGACCTGGTTCATTCGCCCTTCACACAATTGCATTTGCCCTGTTCCACCCATTCTGAAACAACCCCAGATCGTCACTGATCCACCCCCATGTTTTACTGTAGGGGCAAGACCGTCTGGTCTGTAGGCTTCTCCAGGCATTTCCTGTGTTCCTTATAACAACTCTGCTTATAACTTAGCTCTGTTTAAATTAAACTTTGTAATATCAGTCTTTGAAACATTATGCATATTATGTCTGATGATAAATCTTTTGTTTTTGTCATTGCAGCATTTCAAAAAAGACAATCTTCATCACCACTCTCTTGCTGATGGGAGTTTTTGTTGTTGTTGTTAATCTTTGGTTCCCTGAAGATTTGATCAACTACAAATGCATCCTCCTTCAAGCAGATGTGAGAAAGTCTGTCAACCATTCAAAGCCAGCAACCACAAGTTCTACTTATAAATACTCCTGGCCAAAATGTCAGACAAGCATATCTGCTGCCAGCGTCCCCGGCTTCAACTCACTTCCTCGTCGTGTACAAGACTTTCTCTATCATCGCCACTGTCGACATTTTCCCATGATACTGGATGTTCCTGACAAATGTGGAGGAGCTGAAGGATCTGCAGAAGTCTTTCTTCTACTGGTCATTAAAAGTCCTCCTGTGAACTACGACCGTCGAGAGGTGCTGCGTAAAACCTGGGCTAAAGAGAGATTGCAGAACGGTGTGTGGATCCGAAGACTTTTCATCTCAGGAACCAGGGGTGATGGTTTTGAGAAAAAAAGACTGAACAACCTCCTTGAATTGGAGCAACATGAGAACAATGACATCCTCCAATGGGACTTTATTGACACACACTACAACCTCACATTGAAACAAATCCTCTTCCTGGAATGGATGGAAAGAAACTGTCCACATGTTCGCTTCCTGATGAATGGTGATGATGATGTTCTTGCTCACACAGACAACATGGTTAACTATCTACAAGCCCTTAAGGACAATAATGGAAAAAGGCACCTCTTTACTGGAAATGTGATGAAGAATCAGGGGCCCATTCGATCACCAGACAGTAAATATTATGTTCCAGTTCAGGTGTACGAGTCAGAGTCATATCCTGATTTCTGTAGTGGTGGAGGCTTCCTGTTGTCTGGCTACACAGCTCATGTCATATACAACATGTCCCAGTCCATCACCCTTCTTCCCATGGATGATGTTTACATTGCAATGTGTGTGGACAAAGCAGGACTTCGTCCTGAATCCCATGTTGGAGTGAAGGCTTTTGGACATCACGGCCCCTCTAATGCTGACCCATTAGATCCTTGTTATTTTAAAGAAATTCTGCTTGCTCACGGGTTCTCTCCACTTAATTTGTATGTTATGTGGAACAGCTTATATGATCCTGATCTGAAATGCTTTGACAATGTCAAATCGTAACTTACAGGTGATAAAAAAAAAAAGAAAAACAAAAGATTGTCAACACTTTCTTTATTAGGTACACGTGTACAATCTAATAGACCCAACACAACAATAACTTGGTTGTTAGTTGGATTATCTATAGTGTACTTTTGTTATTGAGGTTTTGTTTGTAGTGATGTTGGACTCAATTTTACTATGATGAAAGGTGTTTGCAATATTCTGCCATCATCAAACACTGGTGACGTACAGTTGTGAACACAGGCTTACAAAGTTTCCAATGACTCCTATTAGTGTTAGTTTTCTTTGATGGAATAATTGAAACAAATGAATCTTTGTCACAGAAAACAGCCATGAATTTTGGTTCTTTTATAGATTTATTAAAAGTCATAATATACATACAGCAATAGGAATATTTGGTGAAATGTTGCTTGACCATTTTCACCTCAACTGGACGCTTTTGGTGGACGTCCACAAGCTACTGGCAAGTTTCTGGTTGCATCTTTGGCTATTCTTCTTGACAGAATTGGTATTGGTATCCTATCACAGCTCATAAAGTGATTATTTAGTACATATGGGATTGGATGAAATTCTTACAGGGAACAAGTACAAGTGAAGAACAGACCACTTTAGAGAATAGGGGGTAAAAGTTTTGTGCTTAAGGGGACTTAGAAATAAACTGATGACACTGTATGCATACTGTAAATCAGTAATCATCTGTTTAATGATTGTATGATTCAGCAACATTGTTACAGTTATTGTAGGGATTGTGAATAAACTGGTTGTGGTGTCATGTCTTTGAAAATGATGATTTCTTTAGGAAGGTACATTGTAAAAGGATCTTTAATTAAAACACAGTTACTGTTTTCAATATGGCACACATTATTCAAACAGGTTACGTTGCATAAGCTAGGTATATCATTACTGCTTAACTGTAAACTGATGGTGTGTATATTTTTAAAACACTATTGCATGAATGATTTAAATTTAATAACTTTATTTATTATATGATACGGGCATTGGCAGGGAGTCAGCCAGTCAAAGATGGTTGTGCATTTAGAAGGAGGACAATTCTGGGAACAAAAGTTACCCTCCTTCTTTGAGACTGGCAGCCTGGGCAGCGAAGGCGACGTCCAGAGGGGAGCCACTCAAATGCAGAGAACAGTGGGTGTGATGGGTCCTGAAGGATCTCGCTTTCCTTAAGGTCTGTTGCTCACAAAAGGCGGAGAGGGCTCTTATAGGGAGCCCGATAATTTAGTCGTTGACAACACTCAGTAGCCGGTTTTTGCTTTGGATAACGATAGAGTAAAACCAGCAAGTAAAAGAGAAGGTGATAATGCTCTCTATGAAGGAGCGCTAAAATGGTGTGAGGATGTTTTTGCTCACACTGAAAGAGTTCAGCTTTTGCAGGAGATACTGCCGTTGATGACATTTTTTCAGAATCTAATGGGTCAAACTTCAGCTGCTGGTCAAAGACTGTGCTGAGGTATTTGTATTTCTCCACCACTTCATCAGCCTCAGCCAGTTATCTGTGTTTGTTAGAGAAGGTCACTACCATCTCTTTGGTCTCATCCACATTCAGTTCAAGGCATGATCTATCGCACCAGTCCACAAACTCGGTGAGAGACGAGCCGTGGTGGTCCATGACTGGAGTATTACTGTTCTGAAGTGGCATTTACCTTGAGGGTGAGGAAACTGGTCTAACTTGCTCAGACAGGATCCTTGACATTCACATAAGAGGACTACATCCCCACTGAAACATGACGTGGCATTTAGACATAAACTACACTTCAAGATGGAACTTTGGAATTGTTTGGGACACCGCCAGATATTTCATCTGGAAACAGAAAATCAGATTTTAGCCTGAATAAAAATGCATTTGATCAAATCTGGTTATATTGATCAGTCCTCAGGAATTCCCGTCAGTAAAAACAAAGACATATACGGCTGCAACAGTTATCATCATACACAAAATATTTAGGAGCTACTGCTACTTAACAAACACTATTATAACAATGACAAAACAACACAACAGACAAGGGATAAATGGATGCATATTTGATTAAAGTATGCAAGAAACATTGCACTGGAAAATGGCTATGATCGTCACTGAAAGCAACTGTAACTGCAACAGATGAGCAGTGATGAATTAGAATCACTTTGGGTATGAAAAGCCAGTTATAATATCTAAATTCAGAGAGAGAGAGAGGGAGAGAGAGACAACCACAGCAGGAGAGCTGCTTGTTGAAGTCTGTTCAGGAACGCAGAAACCTGCACATGTTGCTGTAATTTATTTAGCTGTTTCTTTTTTCACTCAGTGGTCGCAGAGCTCTGTTCTGTTCATGAGGTGTGTTTCACATGCCAGATACTTGTACTGAACACAAGCAGCCAGTGCTGACTAACGTGTTCATTTGTCAAGACATTTATTCTTTAGTGAAAAGAAAAGAATAAATCTACAACATGTATCCGGATGATACAGACTCAGAGATCTTCATTTTCAAACTGTTTGTCTATAATGACAACAGACAAAGCGAATGTACGACATTAAATTATTTTAATTCAACTCTTGAGTTAAATTATTCATTTATCATTTATTATATGAAACATTTCAGATATCTAGAAAAATAAATAAATACAACTTCAAATAAAGTTTATACATTTTTAAAATCCTAATGTCTTTGAGCTCACGTTTGCGTGTTGTTTTATTGTTCGCAGCACAGTATCAGCAGGTTTTCAGTCTCACGTCATGATTTTGTCAAAATGTATTATTCGTTTGGTGCAACTTAGCAAAAACCTGTCAAAACTACTTTCCTCCTAAGAACATATGGTTGCATTGTGACTTCTGTTCTCTGAGGGAAGAGACGATGTTTCCACTACACTGCATATTTCATATGTTGGGTTAATGACCCCCTTGTTTGTCAGGTTATATGGACATTTCTTTAAGACACACCAGCTCACAGTTTACCTATAAAGCACCTGTGCTGTTCTATGTTCACTGATAGTTTGATCAAAACGTCTCTTTGAGCAGCCAAAAAGAGCTGGAGAGAAAGTCTCTGAGTCTTTTCTCTTGTCTCTTATCTCTCTGATACTGAACAGAACTAGAGTCAGTTCCGATTACTTATCTACATTCATTTATTCAGACATTTATTGTCTACTGCAAATAAAAGTGCAGATCTACAACATGTATTTAATAAAACAGGCTCAAAGACCATCTTTGTTTGTCGGGATACAATCCATGATTTATCCCTGTTGTGCTGTTCTGTTCCTCATCTTTACTGTTTATGTTCAATTATTCATTCATTATCCATTTTTGATGTCTTAAAACAGCATTTTGTAGATCTCTAAATGAGATGAATGCATACAGGTCGCCAGTCTATCACAGGGCTACACACACAGACAGACAATCAAGTAAACTCACATTCAAAATATCCTTTTGTAATGATGTATGTTGTAACTGATGCTATATAAATAAAATAAAACAAATTGAATTGCAATATACTGTGCTAGTTATTCCTGAATCCCTCTAAAGCACATAGTTTTACCTCATATTCTCAAAGATCATCTGTTCTTCACTTGTACTTGTATCCAGTAAAAATTTGTTCCAACCATGCATGTACTAAATAATTACTTTATTGTAATCAGATGTACTACCAATGTCTGAGGTGGCAGGATATTGCAAATACCTTATCACACAATGCAAATGAGAACAACATCCATACAAACAACAACCACAATGACAAAAATATAATTTTGATAATCTAGCAAACAGCCTTTTTTTTGTTTTTAAATCATTATTACCTGTAAGTTACTATTTGTTGCTGGCTTTATAACAATATCGAAACGTTTGTTCACAACTGTAAGAAATCAGTGGCACACTTAGACTGGAATACATTAGATTGTACAAGTGTGCCTAATAAAGTTAGCATTTCAGATCAGGATCATATAAGCTGTTCCACATAACAAACAAATTAAGTGGAGAGAATCCATGAGCAAGTAGAATTTCTCTAAAATAACAAGGGTCTAATGGATCCATATTGGATGGAGCGCTATGTCCCAAAACCTTCACTCCTACATGGTGCTTAGGATGAAGTCTTGCTTTCTCCGCACACATTGCAATATAAACATCATCAATGGGAAGAATGGTGATGGACTGGGACATGTTGTATATGACATGAGCTGTGTAGCCAGACAACAGGAAGCCTCCACCACTACAGTAAGTTGGATATGACTCTGACTTGTACACCTGAACTGGAATATAATATTTACTGTCTGGTGATCGAATGGGCCCAGCATTCCAGATCAAGTGCCCAGTGTATAGGTGCTTCCTTCCATCATTGACCTTCAGTTTTTTTAGATACATGACCATGTTGTCTGTGTGAGCAAAAACATCATCATCACCATTAAACAGGAAGTGAACATGAGGACAGTTTACGTCCATCCATTCTAGGAAGAGGACTTGTTTCAATGTGAGGTTGTAGAATGTGTCATCAAAGTCCCATTGGAGGATGTCATTGTTCTCATGTTGCTCCAGTTTGAGGAGTTTGTTGAGTCTCATCTTCTCAAAACCATCACCCCTGGTTCCTGAGATGAAGAGTCTTCGGATCCACACACCATTCTGCAATCTCTCTTCAGCCCAGGTTTTACGCAGCACATCTCGACGGTCGTAGTTCACAGGAGAGCTTTTAATGACCAGAAGAAGAAAGACTTCTGCAGATCCAGTAGCTCCTCCACATTTGTCAGGAACATCCAGTATCATGGGAAAATGTCGACAGTGGCGATGGTGGAGGAAGTCTTGTATATGACGAGGAAGTGAGTTGAAGCCGGGGACGCTGGCAGCAGATATGTTTTTACGACATTTTGGCCAGGAGTATTTATAAGATGAACTTCTGGTTGGTGGCTTT